TCGTCTGACATGCTTTGGACATGTTGCAAGGTGAGACCAGTCCTTGTAGAGGGATGTCATGCTTGGGAGGTTGGAAGACAACACAAGAAGACATTTGATGAGATGAATTAATTCAGTGACTGGGGTAATGGAGGTAGGTGTGTCAGAGACAATAAGATTGGCACGGGATTGGGCAGGGTTTAAGGCTATTATACATAGTGTCGCTGTGAGTCACAGGTGACTCAATGGCACATAACAACAACAATAATCAAATGCATATATACAAACATACACATGTGAGCATACTTATGCACACATATAGATGCCTTTTACAAAAACACTTTTTTAGATGTATGCTCCAAGTAGCCAGATGAGATCTTTATTGCTTATTTGTTTTGTTGACACAGTTTCTTTTGAAAAGTCTCTATCAAAATAAGCTATTGTTATGGAAAATGCTTGTAATCAGAATGAGCTTTGAGATAAAACCAGAAAATTGCAATGAAAACAAAATTTTCATTAATGGGTTGAACTGAAGCAATATGTTTATTTTCTGAAAGAAAATGGCTTGTTTAGCAAAATCCTTGCCAGCAGGGGCCCAGTCAGTTGATAAGTAATAGAGTTGAAAATAAAAGCTAATTTTTTTGAACCTAAGTTGAAAATTGAACACATTAAAACACTCAGTCTTTCCAAAAGCCTGACTTCTACAAAGCACAATAAAATCAGTCCATTTAAATGAAAAAGAAAACCATTTTTGTTTATAGTCCTTGTTTTGAAAATGTTCAGTGATGACAAATAACAATATTACTTATTGCTGCTACCATATCTCTTGCACCTTATCTCACCATCAGAAAGTAAGGCAGGATACTCATCTATGTCCTTTACTGCTGACAAATGCAATGCTAGCTATCACACACTCTTAATTTCTCACTGCTGAAGGGTTAAATCATAGTTTCACATAAGATTTGAAGATGCCAACACAATACTACCTCCACCCTATCATCTGGAGTGGCTCCTTTTAGAGATTCAATGAAAGCAAAATTTTCCATCTTGCCTCCCTTTGGGAAATCTAAACAAGAGCTTTATCATTTTACCATAAGAATAATTTCTATGATAATGACACTCTTTCCATCAGTTAAGGATTAAATCTGAAATGCAAACTTGGAGAATCATGCGGGTCTGAAATGAGAACTCTTTGGTCACCAATAACTAGTACTTCATTGGTTCAACATTCATCTTCTAAGCTGGTACCAGAAAAATCAAAGGCTAAGATGGCATACCCAAAAGACACAGAAAAATGTATTTTATTGAGACAATTTTTCAGTTTTTATAAAACTGAAAGACTTCTACTCATAAGACTTCCAGGTGTGAGAGAAGAGTAATGAACATACCATGGACTGCCTAGAGAACTAACTAGTCTCTCCTGGGAAGGATGAAGGCAAGCTGTTCCTTGGAGGCAAGGACTTTGAGGCTCTGTCTCACATACTTTTGACATCTTGCCAAGAGGGACCAATCCTTGGAGGACATCATGCTTTGAAGCATATAAGGACAGCACTAGAGAGGAAGACCCTGGATGAGATGGATTGATACAGTAACTGGGGTAATAGAGGTAGATGTATCTTGTGCTTAAGGTCATTATGAGTTGTAGTCAACCCAATGGCACTTAACAACAGCAACATCTCTTGGTCAGACTATGATGATAAAATAAAATTATCTGAAATCACAAAGGAGATTGTGAAGTTTAAAAAAAAATCCACAACACTTATTAGGAGAGACAGGACTGAGGCTTCCCCTCCATCTGGGGATCCTTGCCTCTGCGGTTGTGGTGCTATCCCAGGGGCAAACCAGGAAAACAGACTTTAGTATACAGAACTACAAGCAGATGAAAGAATTTTCTTAGTTCTCTGCAAGAGAAATGGTTGACTTGAGACCTTCTGCATACAAGTTGCTTGAGCTGGTGGTCCTGATCTCCCTCCACACCAGAAACAAAGAATGGACACCTTTGAGCTGTGGTGTTGCAGAAGAGCACGGAACATCCCATGGATGGCCAAGAGAATAAACAACTATGTCATGGAGAGGGTACAGCTGGAGTGCTCTTTGAAGGCAAGAATGATGAGGCTTCATCTCACATACTTTGGACATATTGCTAGGAGATGCTATTCTTTGGAAAGGCACATGATGTTGGGAAGGATGGAGGGCTGGAGGAGGAAAGGAAGACCCCCAACCAGGTGGACTGACACAGTGGCTACTGCAATGGTCTCTTGTGTATCAGGAAGTGTGAGGATGGTTCAGGATAGGACTGGGTTCAGATCTTTTGTTCACAGGGTCTCTATGAGTCATTCTCAATGACACTTAACAACAATCTCTTTAGAGTTTGGATATGAGTACTATTGCTAGTTCACCTTATGGCTCAGTCAATTGTTTGAATTAAAGATTGAGCTCCTGGGGTGAGTTTTGTTTCAAGATCAAAGGGTGATGAAGGGCCATAGTCTAAGAATGTCACCTGTCTCTATCAGACCTGGCTTTTTTTTTTATGTTTTTGAGTATGTTCCACATTTTTCCGTACTCTGTCTGGGACTATCTACTGTGATTCCTTTTGTGTCTGTAGAGTAGCTGAGAACCATCTAGTTCTAGAAGCTGTTTTATGATCTTTTAGTTCATTGAACCAGTGGTTTCTATGTATCCTTCCCCACCTCAACTTCTTTGTTCCTGAGAGAGATACCAATATTTGCACCATAGATGGCTGCTGAAAAGCCTTTAAGAGCCCAGCTGCTACTTTCAAAATTAGTTGTTGCTGTTGTTATGTATTATCAAGTTGGAACTAACTCAGAGTTAACCCTCCAGCTGATTTCGGAGGCAGGCAATCTTTCTCTCACGAAGTAATTAGTGGATTCAAATCATGTTCCTGTGGGTTGACAGTTCAATTCCTTACCACTAAGCCATCAGAGCTCCCCATCAAAGTAGGATACAAAACATTATCTTTGTGGACTAAGTTATCCAAATTTACCTTAATGTCTCCTAAGATTTAAAATTGGTCTTGAAGTTTCAATATGTATTTGACTCTCTAAATGAACAAGGTAGGGGAGCTCTGGTGGCCTAGTGGCAAGGAGCTGCAACTACAATCCCAGAGGTGAACGGTTCGAATCCACCAGATGCTCTGCTGGGTAAGGAGGGACAATCTCCTCCTGTACCAGTCAGATCTGATTTGACGGTACACGCACACAAAAATAATAAAATAAAATAACGTTTAAAAAAAAAAGAACAAGGCAAGCTGTCATATACTATATGGGGAAAATTTCACATAGCCTTGCGAAGGAAAGAACTACAAAACAGTGACATTTGAAAGGTAATATTGAATTTGATTGTAGAGTGTTTTAGTTTGGTTTTCTTTTTATTTAGCGGTACTAAATAAGGTGTCTAGTTTTGTTAGCTTAAGTTTAGTTTAAAGTATTGTAAACATAGTAAATACTAATAAGGAAAGATAAAGTCTTCCTTTCTTAAATATCTGCTCTAGTGAGCTAAAAATTCATAAAACTCATAGCCAGCCTGAAGGCAATAATAAAATAGAACAAAAATACCAGTAAGACCTCATTATAGCCACTCTAGCAGTTAGAACCTTATTTCATGGAATGAAAACGCAGCATTAAAGCCTCACCAGGACAATTTAGAATGTTGCTCTTTTTAATTCTATTTAATGCTTTCCTAACTATTTCAAAAATTGAGCTTTCTGATCAATTCATAGTACCAATTGCCATCATTTGTAATATCAACACATTAGTTCTGCATATCTCACAACCTAAATCCTCATAAATATATTGCCATTAAAATATATTATGTTTTCTAAAATTAAAAGGAACTCTGTTTGCTAGTTCTTTTATGTTTTTCTAGACATCTTCATTTATTTCACAAATATTCTAGGGATATCTTGAATTGGTATGCCCAAAATTCATCTTAATGTATGTATTTAGATATAAATACATTTTTCTTCTTGTTTGTGAAAGCACCAATCCAACACAGAAAAGCAGCAGTTATTAGGAACTTTTCTTACATACAATCAATTCTCAAATTCAACAGACTTCTTTGCCAAATATACCTCAAATGTTTCTCCTCCCTGTAGCCCCAAGTATTCTTGCTATACTTTAGGTTTTCATCATTTTTCCAGCTAAGAAATGTAATAGTCTCCCAAATGTTTATTTTCCACTTCATTCCTGCTTCCTTCCAATAAATTCTTCATGAATAATTATTCTAAAGCTGACATCAGAGCATAGTGTTCCTTTGCTTAAAAGCCTTCAGCAATTCTGATTCACTGAAAGAATAAAATGAATTTAAAACATAAAAGAATATAGGGCTGAAGGACATAGCATTAACCAAATTGCCTTCATCTTTGATTCTCAAAGAGTATGTACTCCAATAAAAGAAGGTAGACAAAAACAACTTTTAAAATAAATAAAAATAGATAATAAAATATTCAGTAATAAATGATAAATGCTAAGGGCAAAAATAAAACTGGGTGATATTAAAATAAATATTAAATCCTCTTCATATGATTCAAGGAGAGAGTTCTTTTAGATTGTGTGATAGCAAATTGCTTCTCTGAGGAGGTGGTATTTAAGATGAACTCTGAATGATAATAAGGGATCAGCCATGCAATATGTGGTACAGAGATTCCAGAGAGACTAGAGTGAGTACAAAAGTTCCCAAAACAGGAATGAATTTAGTAAGACTAATGAAAAAAGATCCCATGTAGCTGGAGCACAGGGAGGGTAGGAAAAAGGGTATAGTATAAGATGGAAGAAGTAGATGGGAATCATACAATATAAAGCCTGTCAGAGATGGGTGGGAAAGGAAAGAGGGAGTTTGGCTCTTATTCACATACTAAATGTAGCTGATTAATAATGTGGTAAGATTTCTGTTTTAAAAATAATTCTGGGTGCTAAAAGGGGATTGTATTAGAAATGCCTAACAAAGGAAGCTAGGGGAGCATTGAAGAGGTTACTACAGTCATCTCATAGTAGAGAAGGATAATGGCTCAGTCATGTGAACAAAGATGTGGAGGAAAAGATGTAGATACATTTGAAGAAGGCTTCAGAAGTAAATTCAACAGAACTAATGAGAAACTGGATGTGGGTATCAGAAAAAAAGAAAGGTGAGTGTGTCCCAGGTATTTCTATTGCATAGAAAGATAATGATGCCATTAACTGATAGGGAAAACTAAGGAAAGAAAAGTGTTTATGTTGCATACTCTCGACATTTTATCAAAGTTCATAAAGTTTCTAGAGGTATGTTGCTTAGGAAGTGGATGCCACTCCTGCTTCCAAATCTGTCGTAAACTGGGACCTCCAACACACACTGTCCACCATGGGTAACCGTTATGGAATTCGACACTACAATGGCACAATGTTTAGTATCACAGCAACCCCAGGTTACCTCAGTACAGCATATTGACAGAAGAGTGCTTAGAAGAATGTTCCTCTAAAATGTAATAACAACCTACTTTTAAATACAAAGATCCTCCTCAAGATCTTGTTGACTCTAATCAAGAAGCTTAAGTATATATATATACATAACCAATATGGTATGTTGTTGTCATTATGTGCCATTGAGTTGCCTGCAATGCACAGTGACCCTATATACAGCAGCTCTGAAACCTTCTCTGTCCTGAGCCAGTCTCACTAATTTCAACCAACCCCCATTGCCCCAGATACTAAATCAATCCCTCTCATCCTGGGTCTTCCTTTCCTGTGCTGTCCATTCATCTTTCTGAGTATGATGTCCTTCTCCAAGTACTGGTCTCTTCTGGCCACATGCCCAAAGTATGTGAGATGGACATTTAAAAACCTAACCTCCAAGGAGACACTTGGTTTCACCCTCTCTAAGACAGACCTATTTGTTTCTTGGCAGTCCATGGTATGTTCAAGACTCTTATCCAGCACCACAACTCAAAGGCATTTATTCTTCTTCTGTCATTAGTAGGCATTGTCCAGCTCTTTGACACATAGCAAGTAATTGAGAAGACCATGGCTTGAATTAGGTGCACCTTTGTATCTAGACTGACATCGTATTTTCCAGTAGGCATATTTATACACAGATCTGATACCTTAGGAAGAATCTGTGGGTGGCACAAATGGTTAAATGCTGATCTAGTAATCAAGAGATTGGTGGTGATCTACTAACCAAAAGATTAGACTCATTAAGAACAAATCCAGAAGTTATCTGCTCTCAGGTAGCCACAGACTTTAAAACGCAAGGAGGAGTTTTTCTCTGATATACATGGGGTAATCATGAGTCAGAAATTACAACAACTTATTTGGTGTGTGTTTGTATAAGTATCTGGTGAAATCCAAAATGTGTAATCCATAATAAACTGAAAGAAAAAACCATAAGATTAGCCAGAGTCTCTTAAAAAAAAAAAAACAACAAAAAACAAAAACTCAAGAAGGACCAAGCACTGAACATTCTAGCATTTACAAGGTGATAGAGAAGGAAGTACAATTGTGGGCACTGATTAAACAATGTCTATGAGGTACTGTTGCACTCATGTCTGGTCTGTGTCTGGTGATGGAGCCCATAGTCCAAAAGTAATGTGATCAGGAAGAAAAAGACAGATGTGAGGTAGGGCAACCTATGTCAAACTGAGCATGTGAGGTTGGGCTAAAAATAATAGAGTGGAATTTTCATTCATATAACACAGCTTTTTAAGCTTCCAACATCAGTGGTGGCTATCTGTAGAAGTTGGCACCTTTTGTCATGTTGCAAAGCATGAAACTGGTCCTGGAATCAGAGGGAGTGAAAAAGAAGTAGAAAAAGAACTGAAGGAGTTGTGGTCCAGCTGGTGGCCACGCCAAAAAAGTGAGCTAGTAGATAAGCAACAGTGGAGCTATGGGTACTGGCTTGCTTCCATTTGCCAAGCCTCTTTCAACATGGCCTCAGTGATTCACAATAACCTAGAACTCTACAGTGAAGAGAATTGTGGGAAATAGAATTGCCATTGTGTGAGTCTGACACTACTCAAACCTATGTTATTCTTTTATGAAGCAAGAGCAAATATGATCTCTCACTTCTACAAATGCAGTATATTTTTATCTGGATTTCATATATTTCTGTCATATCTAGATTTGTTGTTGTTGTGTGCCATTGAGTAGCCTGCAACTCATAGCAACCTAGTGTACAACAGCCCTAAACCCTTCTACATCCTGTGCCAATCTTGCTGTCTCTGATTATCCTGATTATCCCAGTTACTGAATCAATCTACTGCATAGAGGGTCTTCCTCTCCGGCACTGTCCCTTCACCCTCTCAAGCATGACGTCCTTCTCCAACGACTGGTCCCTCCTTGCAACATGTCCAAAGCATGTCAGACAAAGCCTCAGAATCCTTACCTTCAAGGAGCAGTCTGGTTTAACCCTCTCCAGGATGAACCTGTT